GTCTTTTGGGTACTGCCAGACCACAGCCCTTATGGGATCATTTGGCAAAACTTTTGAAACCTGGTATGTTTTGTTTCAGGTTTAAAACAAGACACATTTTCCATTTCACAAAAGCCCTGCATGCATAGTTTAAAATTGTTCCCTAATACACACTTACAAGAATTCTCGAAAAGTTACAAACTGGGCCAATGTGGAAAACAAGTCATTCTTCCTCTCAGCCTCTGGCAAGCTGAATTCTGTCCAAACATATGATTTATATTTCAATCTCAAAAGGAAAGTTAGACATAATATTTATCATTTAAAATCAGACAATTCTTCTGTAATAAAAGTAGGGCATTCCTAATGATTAAATTTGAAGAGTCTGACCTTCTGCTTACTACCTAATAGAAGTGACTAGATCAAAAATGTATGAAAGATACATAGAAGAAATAGTAAAATGACAGTTGAGCAAATCAAACATGTGATCTTTGGTAAGCTTCTTATTATCACACCGTAACAGAAAATTCTAGCACCTTTTTACCTTGATCCTTTATGGCTGTAGTGTCTACTTGTTTTTGTGTTGTTCTTACCTAGTTATTATAGCAAAACTATCTATGTGTGAAGCAACAAAGAAGCTTTGTTTATCAGCTGGCCTGATACATAGTCTAACTCTGATTAGGGTGGAAAGAAGTGATTGGCCCAGAATCTCCAGCTGGCTTCCATCCCTTCCACCCCCAGTTCAGCATATCAAGCACTGTACCATGCTGACAGTACTATAAGTATAGTAAATTTATTCTATAGACTGGAGAACATGAATCAGTTACATTGCCCTAGAATTTTTTTAGGGTAGGCTAGCCTTTACCAAGTTTTTAAATCCTAACAGCAAATATTTAATCAAGGGCCAGCTAATTCTTAGATTCAGGGCACTAATCTTAAAAAAAAAAGAAGTTAAAAAAATCACAATATTTCTACTCAAAATATTACAAAATATATGATCTCACACATCCCCAAAAAATTACACCATCTTAAGTAGGAATATCGATATCTTATTGCCTGGTATTATTTCTGCTTTAAAATTTTGTTTTATTATTTTCATATTTGATAACACTAGAGATTATTTTCATATTTGATAACATTAAAAATAGCACGTAGGCAGTGATGCTTTAATGTCTACAATGCCAGATGTAATTTAATCATATGTACTTCAGGCTAGTGCAATGAACTAGCTGGGAGTACATATTATCAATGAAATATCCGATTCATAGTAAATTGCATAGCTAAAATTACCTTTTGAAATATAAACTCAGCATATTTTTAAAAAGATTCTTGCATTCGTTGTTTTACTATGGCTAATATTCCACTTTTTCTTTGGCGCCATTTCTTTTTTGAGTTAAACAAAGCACTCTTCCTTCTTATATCTGTGTAATCAACACAAATGTTTTATTCATATCTGAATCTTAGAGTGGTCCTGTTCATTTCTATATTTCTATATTACTTCTATATTACTTGAAAATATTTCTGTCATCCTAGCATTCCTTCCTCTGATCTTATGCATGATTCCTTCTTTTTCTCTACACTTTACCAGTTTTCACTGAAATGACAGCTGTACTGTCCCTGCAAATCAAACTGTGCATGTTCCGAGTAGCCCTTGATATAATCAATATTAACCTTTAAATGTTCTAAGTTCTTCCCTTCCCAAGAATTCCTGGTCTTTAACAATGGGAATGCAGCCCGGGTTCTTATAGCACAAGTGAACTTCTCCCAGCATAGAGTAGCAATGAAATAAATGTCACTAGAAAAGCACTTGTCTCTTATGAAGGTGATGTACACTAGCACTGCACTGCCAATAAAAAATAATAAATTCAAGGACCATGAGAAACATTCAGTTAACTAGACGGCAGAAGAAATACAGTATGTGTTAGTTGGTAATTGCATGTGGTAAAAAAATAATAATATTGGTGTTTTTATAAAGGAAAAACTAGGAAAAAATGTTCCTTTATATTGTATTAAGAAGAGCAGGGAGCAAAGCAACTCAGTAGACAAAAAAAGTATATTTGCAAACATTTTTAAAGTTATCCATGTAATATCCAAATACAACTTTGCATCTGGTTGTCCAACTTTTATTTCTCTAAGATACTGTAAGTAGCATTCATAAAAACTACATTTTCAGGTCTCTGTTTCATGAAGTTATTAATGGTGCTTAAAGCCCTTGCATGGTAAGTTCATTACTTATACAAAATGACAATAAAGAAGCTTCCTCTATCTACTAGGGGCTCAGCAGAACCACATTCTATTTTATTTACATAGGTGTCAGTTTTGTTAAGGCAACCTAATAAGCTTTCTGGATATTAAGATTATTGAACCTGACACTCCCAAGGTTTTCTCTCATATTCCCATGTTCATCAAACTGTAACACAGATCAAACCCTCTAAAAATGTTAGTGTAGTGTTGTAGAGTGTAGAGGTTCCCAACCTGTGGGCCAGCGCCCATTACCGGTTGTGGCCTATTCACAACTGGGCTGCATGAGCCTGCCACTCACAGAAATGACTCTGGCTGTGCGCACACACCTTCCCCTCACCCAAAACCGTCCCCTTTCCCCCCTGCTGTGCCAGACTGCGAACCCGGAAAGATTGGGGAATATTGGTATAGTGTGAGTGTGTGTGTGTGTGTATATGCAGGACTCTGTGTTTACAAACAAGACCGTAATCAAATGAGACTGCATATTTGTATATTTAAATTCCTTTTTCTTCATGTTCTGCACCTTTTATTTTTTTTCTATTTTTTAGTTTGTATTAATTATCTTAATGTTCAATAAAATTATTATAATAAAATCTGGAAGATGCCTGCCTGCCTGCCAGTAAGAAGATACTAGAGCCAAATCACTTTCAGCCTGGAAGAGACTAACACATTTTTGAATATGGTAAGAGAAACAAAATAACGCTACTAAAACCTGTTCAGTACAGATTTCTTATTAGGGTATTAGATAAGGGAAAAGGTCACACACTACTAAACGTCTGCAATCATTCTTGCATAAGAAATTATTCTTATGGTCAATACAATCGTCAAATGATCATGTATCTCCAAAAGCACAATCCACTACACAGTTAGCATGCAAATTTTATTCAAAATAAGTTAAATTACACAAGCCCAAAGAGACTTGTTTTCTTGACAGGGACAGTCAGATGCTGCTGCTAGTCCAAACTATTATGGGTGTGGCTCATCATATTCTGACAGACTAACGGAAACATAATGAATTTCACAGCAGAACCAAGCCAAATTGTTCTGCTTGAATTATAATATTATTTGGTGAAAAAAGCATGGGATTTCCATTTTCTGTGTATTAAAAAGATAATACAGTTGAAAATTTTGTATCTTCTATCTCAGTTCCCCAATAAGTTGCAGACCAGTTGCAAATAGCTCACAGCCCACTAGTGGGCAGCAGCCCAGAGCAGGGGTGAAATGCTCCCAGTTCGGACCGACTCGGGCAAGTAGGTAGCGATGGTGGCAGGCAGTTCGGAGAACCGGTAGCAAAAATCCCTGTACCCGCCCCCCATGCCCAGCTGAGCCGCGCGATATCAGAGCCTTTTTTTTCTTTTAAATGACTCTGACGAGCCAAGCTCTGACGATCCCAGCTGAGTTGCCTGCTAATCAGGCAACTCAGCTTGGATTGTCAGACCCATTTAAAAGAAAAAAAGTTTTTCCTTTTAAATGGCTCTGACAATCTCAGCTGAATTGCCTGCTAATCGGTAGCAAAAATCCCTCCCCCTCAGCTTGCTTACCTTAGCTGCTGGTTGCAATGCCTTGCTGTAATCCCTGCAATCCATTGCATCAGCAAGCAACTGAATCTCCCTGCTTGCAATCAAGCAGGCAGAGAGTTGTGGACTTCAACTCCCAGAATTCCTCAGCCAGCAAAGCAAAGCTGGCTGAGGAATTACAAGTCTTAAAGTTGCCAAGGTTGGAGACCCCTGTTCTATTGGGTAAGTTTTTTTCCCCTTTGGGAGCTTTAAAAAAATAGTTAATTGAGGTTTTTTTTAGTTGTTCTTTTTTTAGACCTAGTCATTTAAAGTTTAGGAAGATTTAAATTTAGCTGCTTTTATATAAAAATAAAAATAAAATAAAATAATATTTGTGCAGCTTTCTGAGATTTAGTGTGTTTCTGTAGTGTTTCACTCTAACTACACAAACACACAAAATCTCACAAAGCTGTATGTGGAATTTTGTGTGTGTAAAGTGTGAAAGTTGGTTTTTTGGGCTTTTTGTGGCTGTGTGAGGTTCCTGCTTGTTTCAGGGACCATTTTGGGTCTAGCACAGCTGCTTTTACATTGTGGGTGAGCCTGTTGTGTTGTGTTGTTGTGTTTTGTAGGTTAAAAAAGGGCAAAGAAGTGACATTGACTTGGCCATGCCCACCTGACCAACAAGCTACGCCCTCCCAGTCACCTTACCACCAAGCCCCGCCCACAGAATTAATTAATTAAGTCACGCCCACAGAATCAGTAGCAAAAAATTTAGATTTCTTCCTTGGCCCACAGCTGGGGACTCCTGGTCTAGTTCAATTATTATATTGGAGTTTGTCAAGGATTTATTTACACACGCTTTGTTTGCAGATTGAGATGCACACACACAAACACATACACCCCTTAAATCTGCAACAGGTAGTCCTCAACAGAATGTGTAAAGCAAATTTAAACATTACAGTTACAAAGTAATTAATGTGTCTTTTGCCTGCTATTAAATGAACAGCTTTGACAAATATCTAAAATTTAGTCAGTAGCTTATATATATATGACTCAAAACCAATAAAAAACTGAAAAAAATATTTTCAGTTAATTTAAGAAAAAATATTTAAGAAAAAACACTAGTAAGTTCAAATAATACAAATAGTAAAATACTTAAAATAGCAAAAAATACTTAAACATAATGAAGATACAGCCCAACTAAGTTAAATGAAAAAATACTTATTTGGAAATAGATTGTTATTTAATGATCACTGTTTTTGCATAATAGGAGGCATGTAGAATTACCTGATTCTGCAGTTCTTCCAGTTTACATTTTCTTGTGTGCAATGCTTTACTTGGGAAGGCCCAAAAATAATTTGATGTTCCAATCCTATCAGTGTCTACCATACCATCATCAACTAAGCTTTGTAAGATATCCTTCACTGACATAGACGCTGTCAAAGAAATAATCATAATTATTATTTTGAAAACTTATATAGATTAGGGAAAACTATTATTCATTAAAACATCAGAGAGAATAATAAAGATTCAGAATGTCCTTTGAGAAATTTTCAACAATTCCTTTGCAAATTACCACAAACTAGCAGATGGCAAATTAGGCTTACTTATGTGTACAGCAACCCAACACACAGAGTTCCTTTAAAATCACTGCCACGAAAAAATAGCAAGAGAGATTAATTTACATAGCTTTTTCTTGTAAGAAACTAGATTTGTAACAGAACAGGATACCAGTGGGGCAATTCCATTAATAAATAGAATAAATATCAAGAGGATCCTTCAGCATAGATCCAAAGAAATTTCAAATTCTTTCCAGTCCATTATTATTTTTCTAAAGGAACTGTGAAAAAACATTGGTTTTAAATCACTTTTCCCATTAATGTATCTAACATGATGTACTCCTCTGAACTAGTTGGTTTTCCCTGTGATCTATCCTTCCCATCTCTTGAGATCAGAACACTTTTTAATATATGAAGTCAAATCAAGAAGAAATGAATCTGCACATTGAAAATTTAAGTCAGGTTTATGAAATCAGTCCCAAAAATATACCGTATTTCTCGGAGTATAAGACGCACCAGAGTTATAAGACGCACCTACCTTTTTTGGTTGTTGTTTTTTAAAGTTTTTTTTTATTTTTTAGACAAACACACATACAAACATACAATGTATTTTCTTTGAACAGAGTATTTGGCTGGTTCACAAATTTAAACAGTGTTTAGTCATTTCAATTAAATTTATAATTTCTATATTTTCTTTTTGCCATATTTATTCCTCATCTACTTTTTTTAAAAACCAATATTACCCTTCATCCTCATCTCTAATCTTAATCAAATTCAATTTTTCCCTTCTATTCTATATTATACCGCTTCCCATTGTCATCTAATTTTATAACCATCCTCACATTGGTTAATTATGTAATATTACAGTTGTTTAATACAAATTCAACATTTTTATATAAATCAATTAGTTATATAACTATCTTTTTTGTATATTAATCAATATGAGCATGAATATTCCAATTATTTCCATGCAATTCAATTTCTTACAAATCAATTAATTATATTTACCAATAATAATAAACCAAATAATTTCCCTCATATATTCCTCCAAACCACAACTTAATCATTTCTGCTTTCAACACAATATTACTAGTATCTCAATTATTACAATTCCCTAGTTAAATAGAGCTTTCCCCTTATGATACTCATTTTCACATCTTAAACTCTCCCAATAACCCAAAATTTTGCCCATATAGAAAAATATTCCAATTATTCATTTCATTTTTACAATCATGATTTCCCATTTATTTCTTACTACTATTAATATTTCAATTCTAAATATGTATAACATCTTTCTCTTTCATTTCTTTTTCTTTTTCTCTTTTCCCATTTTTATTTTTGCCTTTTTTCTTTTGTGTTTTAAAATCTTGAATCCCCTCTTTTGCCCTAAATTTCCCATTGTTTGCACCTACCTTTTTTGGTGAGGAAAAAGAAAAAGAAATCTCTGCCTCATTTTGCCACGTTGGAGCAAAGAGCCTGCTTTACTTTCAGTTTCATTTTTCAGCATAGCTAGGAGGAAAAAAATCTGCTCCAGCACTCTTTGCAGCAAGCAGCAGAGCCCTGCGCACAGCTGAGAGCAAATCAGCTGAGAGTCGGGAGGCCGATCTAATCAACTTGTGCTAATTAACCTATGCTGAAGCTGAAAGGAGCTGTTTTTTCTTGCTGTTTGCGTGCAAGGGGGTAACTGCTGTGAGGAACAGGCCAAAGGGTGAGGGCCAGTGGGTGGGCAGGGCTACATTTGGTGTATTTATTTATTTATTTTATTTTATTAAATTTGTATACCGCCCTACTCCCGAAGGACTCAGGGCGGTGAACAGGCACAAGATAAAATACAGAAATACAAAAGGTAAAAACAATTTAAAACCAAATTAAATAATATTGGCTCATGACAATTAAAATCCCAATAAATTTAAAACAAATTAAAATTTCAATTTAAAATTTAAAATTTAAAAGAAAGGGGAGAAAAATTAGGCCAGGCCGGCTTGCTGGAATAAAAGGGTCTTAAGAGCACGGCGGAAGGTGTGCAGATCCGGGATCCTCCGTATCTCCGGGGGGAGCTCGTTCCAGATAGTGGGTGCCCCCACAGAGAAGGCCCTCCCCCTGGGGGTCGCCAGTCGACACTGCTTGGCTGATGGCACCCGGAGGAGACCCTCTCTATGAGAGCGTACCGGCCGGTGGGAGGCTATTTGTGGTAGTAGGCGGTCCCATAAATAACCGTGTCCTAAGCCATGGAGCGCTTTAAAGGTGGTAACCAAAACCTTGAAGCGCACACGGAAGACCACCGGGAGCCAGTGCAGCTCGCGCAGGAGAGGTGTTACACGGGAGCACCATGTTGCTCCCACAACCACCCGCGCGGCCGCACTCTGCGCCAGTTGGAGCCTCCGCATGCTCCTCAAGGGGAGCCCCATGTAGAGAGCATTACAATAGTCCAGGCGGGAGGTGACGAGGGCATGAGTGACTATGTGTAGGGAGTCCCGATCCAGAAAGGGACGCAACTGGCGGATCAGGCGAACCTGATGAAAAATCCTCCAGGTCACGGCCGTCAAGTGCTCTTTTAAAGACAGCCGTGAATCCAGGAGGACACCCAAGTTGCGAGCCCTCTCCGTGGGGGCCAGCGATTCGCCCCCAATAGTCAGCGATGGCGTCAACTGACTATATCAGGACGTCGGAAACCACAGCCACTCGGTCTTGGATGGGTTGAGCCTGAGCCTGTTCCTCCCCATCCAGATCCGCACGGCCTCCAGACACCGGGACATCACTTCAAGGGCATCATTGGGGTGGTCCGGGGTGGAGATGTACAGCTGGGTGTCATCAGCGTACTGATGGAACTTCACCCCGAAACCACGGATGATCTCGCCCAGCGGCTTCACATAAATGTTGAACAGAAGGGGTGAGAGGACCGACCCCTGTGGCACCCCACATACGAGGGGCCTCGGGGACGACCTCTGCCCCCCTGCCAACACAGACTGCAACCGGTCAGAGAGAAAGGAGGAGAACCACCGTAGAACAGTGCCCCCCACCCCTAACTCTTCCAGCCAGTGCAGCATGATACCATGGTCGATGGTATCAAAAGCCGCTGAGAGATCTAATAGGACCAGGACAGAGAAGCAGCCCCTGTCCCGAGCCCTCCAGAGATCATCAACCAACGCGACCAATGCCGTTTCCGTGCTGTACCCAGGCCTGAAGCCCGACTGGAACGGATCCAGATACGTCGCTTCATCCAGGTACTGGGGAAGCTGTCGCGCAACCACACTCTCAACAACCTTTGCCACAAAACGAAGGTTGGAGACCGGACGATAATTAGCCAACACTGCTGAGTCCAGGGAAGGCTTCTTGAGGAGGCCTCACCACCGCCTCTTTCAAGGCGGCGGGGAAGTCACCCTCACCCAACAAAGCATTTATAATCCCCTGGAGCCAGCCTCGCGTCACCTCCCGGGAAGCCAGCACTAACCAGGAGGGGCACGGGTCCAATAAACAAGTGGTCACGTTCAGTCTACCCAGAATCCTGTCCACGTCCTCAGGGGTCACAGGATCAAACTCATCCCAGATAACATTCTCAAGACCTGCCCTAGTCCCTCCCCCTGAGACTACCCAGTCGGAGTCCAAATCTTCCCGGATTTGAGTGATTTTGAGACGCACCTAAATTTTTACTCTAGTATAAGACGTACCTAAATTTTTACTCCCTTTTGGGGGGTAAAAAGGTGCGTCTTATACTCCGAAAAATACAGTACATATTAGGTAACTTAGCTCAAATATTATATGCAATCTGTAGAATAAGTAAATGGCAATGCTGTTGAAAATACCTTTATCTACATCTTTGTTATCTATACTGAACACAGAGATTACATAACTGAATTGACTTGTCAAACTAGCAAGGAAACAGCGTTAGGGATGTTTTGTAATTACACCCTAAACATTTACATACATACATACATACATACATACATACATACATATACACATACAATATATTATGCATTCCACAAACAATAGTAATTTTTTTAAGCTATTATGTCTCATAGAAATATCAATTTTACCCTAAATCTATTTATATGAATTAAGGTAAAGTCAAATCTATTAAATGTAAGGGACCAAAAAGGAGTTCCACTTTCCTCTAGAAATTTCCCATTAGGAGTATGGTAAATAAATTTTGCTTCTACATTATCCACTTGATCTATATATGAATCATACAAGCACACACACAAAATAGTATATATAGAATTTACACAATTAGTAGTAGTTAATCTCATCTAATTTATTAATGTTACCATTATGTAGGATTCCCTAATGCCGTGATGGCGAACCTATGGCACGCGTGCCACAGGTGGCACACAGAGCCATATCTGTGGCCACGCAAACATTGTCCTAGCTCAGCTCCAGTGCTCATGCACGTGCCGGCCAGCTGCTTTTTGGGCCTTCCAGGCCCACCGGAAGTTGAGAAACGGGCCGTTTCCAGCCACCAGAGGGCCTCAGGATGGGTGGGTGTGTAAGGCCATTTTCGTCTTCTCCAGGCTCCAAGAAAGCCTCTGGAGCCTGGGGAGGGTGAAAAACGGGCTTTCTGGGCCCATCAGAAGTCGGAAAACAGGCTGTTTCCAGCCTCCAGGGGGGCGAAGGCCGTTTTCAGCCTCCCCAGGCTCCAAGAAAGCCTCTGGAGCCTGGGGAGGACGAAAAGCAGGCCTACCAGGCCCACTGGTAACCTTTTTGCCGTCACGTGCAAAAAGCGGGGGAAGCGCGGGGGAGGGGTCACATGCACATGCGTAGGGGACATTGAATTATGGGTGTGGGCACACATGCGCACAACCCCCCCGCGCTCTCCCCGTTTTTGGCACGCGACGGCAAAAAGGTTAGCCATCACTGCCCTAATGAATTTTGAAAACATTTCAGGTCTTTGTAATCGTATAAATATGTCGTCCTGTCAAATATTATGTAAAATATGCAGCAAACTGAAAACATCATGAATTCATAGTGCATAGAATACACAGAGAGAGAGTTTGGTGTAGTGCTTAAGGTGCTGGCCTAGAAACCAAGAGACTGAATTCTAGGCCTCTTTTACACAGAAGAGAAAGGGGTGACTTTGCACTCTCTCAGCTCCATCTACCTCACAGGGTTGCTGTTATATGGAAAATAGGAAGCCAGAGTGTGAGGTAATTTCACACACTTGAGTTTTATATAAATATATAAAAGATAGAATAATAATATTTTTAAAGATCTGAAAAGTTAAGAGATTATGGCATAAACCAATAAAATGGTTATTGGCAAACTTGCGTCATACCAAAAAATCTTGGACAGCACTTAGAAAATCTGCACAACGACAAAATTTCTATCTGTGAATTACAAAAGGTCCCACTTGCTTGGGTACACAAATATACTGTATTATGCCAAAATATAACATCCTAGGTTCTTGAGACAAACGTGATACAAATGAAGGCTAGCATCAGCTAAAGAACTGACAGCTGTAATTTACATTGTGTATATAAAAATTAGTGAATGCGGTAGTACCTGGAGATAGAAGAATAGAAGAGAAAGAACTGGAGAAAATCACAAACTATAAACACCTGCAAATAGAAGTAGAATGAATATATGGCAAAAAGAAGAAGAAGAAGAAGAAGAAGAAGAAGAAGAAGAAGAAGAAGAAGAAGAAGAAGAGGAAGAAGAGGAAGAGGAAGAAGAAGAAGAAAGATAGTGTGACTAGTAATAGGTGCCTGGGATGCAATCCCAAAACTTCTGGAGCACCATTTGAACATCGTCAGCACTGACAAAATCATAATCAGTCAGTTGAAAAGGTACTCACTTATTCCTTTTTCTTTCGAAGCAATTTTCTCAATATCCTTTAACTGGAATACATCTTTCTGATACCATAAAAGTGAGAAGAAAACAGTTTGTTTTGTAATGTGTTCCTATTATAGCATAGGACAGAAACATTACTGAACTCACTAAATTCTCTCACTAAATGCATTGCAAGAAGAAAAGAAGAAAAACTATGTTAAAAATAATTTAACCAGACTATTAGAAGACATTTTCTGATAAGAATGAACAAACCATTGGATCTCTTGCATTTCCTCAAAAGACACATACATTTTTCTGCTTCTAAAGTATGGTAACTGCATCCTGCTATTTACTAAATACTAGTTTACAGTATTCCTTCTTCATTTCCTCTAACATTTTTAGACAGTGATATCAATAACACACAAAAAATGTGTGTTTTGCATCTGTTCTAGAGTTATCCTTTTCAGATATAAAATTAGAAGGCACTGTTGCTGCAGGATCATGTAAAGGGATATCTTTAAAAACCACCCAAAGTAGACAACAATAAGCAAATATCTGTGAAAGTAAGGACATTTAGTTTGGTTCATTTTTAAATTTAGAAAACACTAAATCAAATGAATTTATTTTGTTCAGCATTCTACAGCCAAATAGTTTTATAGACTTTATAAATTTCACATGCAATTCAAAATAAAGTACAAAGAAAAATATATTAACATGAACAATATTCTTCTTTATAGCACTGAAATATTATGACTCAGAGCTCTACACATAAAAATATAATATTCCAGATTAAAGAGATATTTTATTCATGTATTCATCTTCCTTGCTCCACCATTCATTATGCAAATAGACTAACATTAGTTTAATAATTATAGGTTCCTGATTCATCAAAGTCTTTTTATCTAGGTCTTTTTAATTAGGCCTAGCCTAATTAGTTTTTTTATGGGTTAGTTTTTAATTGTATAGCTTTGGGGTTTTAAATTGGGGGCCGATTGATTTAATTTATTTTAGCTATCTTAACTTTTATATTGTATGTATTTTAATTTCGGCTGTTCACCACCCTGAGTCCCTAGGGGGAGAAAGGTGGTATATAGATTCAAAAATAAATAAATAAATAAATAAATAAATAAATAAATAAATAAATAAATCTATACTAAAATAATTTTCCTCAAATTAAGATAAAATATATAAAACACTATATACATTTCTTAGAATATTTGGAATGTTTTACATTAAAAGCCAATTTATCAAAGATCAGTTGTCAGACTGAAAGTAGAATTCAAAGAGTTCATTATACCACAGACATCTAAAAATCTAAAATGATCTAAAAAGATCATTTTTCCACATGAGTTTACATGATAAATTACTCTTAGGCATCATGGAAGTGACTACAGCCATTAGTATATAGCAAGGACCTTTAACGAGTCCTCTTGGCAGCTCTGTATTTTCAAATCAGATTCTCAATTTCTTTAAAAAAATCCAAAGTAATAGAAAGCAACAACAAATATTACTTACTGTTTCAAAAAAGATTTCCATCATTCGAGTTCTCTTCTCTTCAACGCTCAGACCTCTTTTCTTTGACTAAATAGGAAAATTCATGCTACATAAATATAACTGCATTCAAACCCAAAAATCTTAGGTACATAAGTTAAAATGAAGGACTACACTGAGCGATTGAAGAGTCTCAACCTATTTGATGGGCATCAGCTTTGATAGACTTTGTGAAAACTTCCCAATTTATTTGCAGTTTTATATATAAAATTATATTCAAAAGATGATATATCTGATTTCAGATTAGTGTTTATCTGCATAGATTTTACTACCTATAATAATTTAATGTATTTTTTTCTTCAGCAGAAATATCAGTATATGCAACTACTTCAAAACTATTAAGATACTCAAATATAAAACTTGTTTCTGATGTGTTTGTTTCATTTATCCTGTTGAAAATACAAGGAATATTGTCTTGATACTGTAGAATCATATATTTTTGTCTGATTTATATTATTCCATAGTAATTGTCTACATGCATGTCACAATAGAAATATAAAATAATTTAACACAAAACAATGTATAATCAAACATTTGGTTGATTCATAAAATATATTTATAAATTACAAAGTAAATATATAAAACAAACTCATAACAACTCCAAAAATGAACAGTTTTTTAAAACAAACTACAGGGCTTTTTCAAAGCTGAATGAAAGATCTTCTTCTGATGCCCAAAATACATTTTCTATATATTTTAATAGTTCTATACTGAATGTACACATACACACACACACAAAATCTGCATTTTGTGTGACATATAAGTATAGGAAATAAATAAACAGGGCTGTTCAACAAACAAGTTTTTTTCTTTAAGACTCCTATTTGCTTCATAAGATCATTTGGAAAGTCTGCCTGCAGCTGCTGCTAAACCAGTTGCTATAGTATAGCAATACCTTTTTAGGACCAACCAAGAGTATCAAGTTGCCAAGTTCTAGCAAATTATTGCACAAATCCATATACTGAGCCATGGTAGTGCAATGGTTAGAATGCAGTACTGCAGGCTACTTCTGCTGATTACCAGCTGCCTGCAGTTTGGCAGTTCGAGTCTTACCAGCTCAAGCTCAGAATTCCATCCTTCCAAGATCAGTAAAATGAGGACCCAGATCGTTGGGGGCAATATGCTGACTCTGTAAACTGCTTAGAGAGGGCTGTAAAGCACTATGAAGCGGTATATAACTCTAAATGCTATTGCTATATTATAAAGGTAAAGGTTCCCCATGCACAAATGTGCTAGTCGTTCCCGACTCTAGGGGACAGCGCTCATCTCCGTTTCAAAGCCGAAGAGCCAGCGCTGTCCGAAAACGTCACCGTGGTCATGTGGCTGGCATGACTAAATGACAAAAGCGCACGGAACATTGTTACCTTCCCCCCAAAGGTGATCCCTATTTTTCTACTTGCATTTTTTATGTGCTTTCGAACTGCTAGGTTGGCAGAAGCTGGGACAAGTAATGGGAGCTCACCCCATTACGCGGCACTAGGGATTTGAACTGCTGAATTGCCGACCTTTCGAGTGACAAGCTCAGCATCTTAGCCACTGAGCCACCGCATCCCTACTATATTATAGTTCTAAAAATAGACTAAATTATATTATATAATAATGTAATGTAATGTAATGTAATATAATATAATATAATATAATATAATATAATATAATATAATATAACTAAAAATAGACTAGCTATATTATACGCTAGTCTATTTTTATGCCTGCTTGTTTATGCAGCTTGCCATTCTGAGAGTTTTGGGAAACACAACATAGAAAAACTGCACTAAAAAAAAGTCCAAAGCCACTATGAAAGAAATAGTGTCCAAAATCCCTATTATAGTACTGTCATGAATTACAGCTATGATAAAGCAACCTATTTCTTTCTAAGGTTATCAGTCTATTTAGCAATAATGTTACACATACCAAAGTTGTGAGTAGATACAATATTAACTGCTGAAGATACTATTACCCTTGCCTGGCAATGCTTTTATTTACATACTCTTTAACCTATTATAATCAATTAAACAGTGTGGACAGCAACAGGTGTTAAGTTTCAAAAACTCAATAGCAAAACATTTGTTCAACTTTCAACAACAGGTTTTAAGACTAGTAGTTGTAAATGATTTGTTTAAAATAATGTGTTTCACCACCCTCACTTAACTGGCTATGGTCCAATTTATTTCCACAGCTATTTGCACTATAAGGTATCTAAATTGTGTTTTTATGGTGGGGTGTATACCTTTTTTATAAGCATTTCTCTTCCTTGGTTACAAGCCTTACTGTGCAGTAAACAGAATTGTAAAGGGAATCATTTATAAACATAATCAAAACATACTCTGTACAAGATTAGTATTACTTAGGAATTTTTTAAAAAAAAATTAGGGTTTTTTTAATTTCCAGGATTAATATCCCACTCACTTTCACAAGAAGACAGATCTTTAAACAGCCGTTATTCATGATACCGTAAAGACAATTCTTGGACAAATAATGAAGGGAAAGAATGACCATTACTATTATGGATTTTAAAATTGATGGCTAATTCTGCAAAACCCAGAAGCAGAGGCACAACTCTGGCACAAAAGTTTAAAAAGTAGAGATTTATCCTAAGTAATTTACATATCCCACACAGCAATATCCCAATACTTTGGGATTGATGTTATGCATTCAGATGTTTCCAACTCTTGGCAATTCTGTGGGCCTGGTCTCTCTACATCTTCCAACCTTGCACTGTTCAACTACTACTACTACTACTACTACTAAACTATTATTTTATTAAACTAAACTACTACACCTATATGTTGAGATTACTAGATATAATAATGAAAGTGTTCAGAACCAGAGTATGAATTGTGTGTACAGGTAGTCCTTGATTTACAACAGTTCATTTAATGACTGATCAAAGTTACATCTCTGAAAGAATTGACTTATGGCCATTTTTCACAACTATGACCGTAGCAGTATGCCCATGGTCATGTGATCAAAATTCAGACAGTTGACAATTGACTCATGTTTATGAGTTGTAGTGCCCTGGGATCATGCTGTACCCTTCTGCCAAGCAAAATCAATGGGGAAGCTAGATTCAATTAACAACCATATTACTAACTTAACAACTGCTATGATTCACTTAAAAACTGTGGCAAGAAAGGTCGTAAAATGAGGCAAAACTCACTTAACAAATGTCTCACTTAGCAACATAAATTGTGGTCGTAAGTTGAGGACCATCTGTATTTAATAGATCCAGCATAGTGAAATTACTAAACATATCCTGGTCTGAAGGTGGGGAAATATGGTACCTCATTCACCATTCTCTCCCCAAAGTCTGCTTGTCTTCTGTATGAGCAAGGGAGGGCTGGAAATACACATAATTGTAAGTGGATATAAATGCTCAATTCATGGTCAATCTCACTCAGTGATTCTGTATTGATTCTGTCTCAAAGGATCAAGAGCCTTGGTGGCACAGCAGACTAAAGTGCTGTTAAGTAACACCAGCTGCCTGCAATTACTGCAAATTCAAATCTCACCAGGCCCAAGGTTGACTCAGCCTTCCATCCTTTCCAAGTAGGTAAAATGAGGACCCCAATTGTGGGGGCAATAAGCTGACTTTGTATAAAAAAGAACACCGCTTAGGGGGGCCCAAAAGCCCTACTAAGCAGGTATATACAAAAGTATGAAGACTATTGCTTAACGCATTGTAAAGCCGCCCTGAGTCTCTGGAGAAGGGCGGCATATAAATCGAACCAATAAATAAATAAATAATTTATTTATTTATTTTTAAATTTGTATACCACCCTTCTCCCTGAGGACTCAGGGTGGTGAACAGCCAAGTAAAAACATAAACTACAAACATTAAAATACAATTAAAAAGATATATATAAATTTGGCCCCATAATTAAAAACAATAACAATTAAAAAAACATTTTAAAAAATGTTAGGCCAGCCCGGCTTGCTGGAAAAAGAAGGTTTTAAGGGCACGGCGGAAGGCACCGAGGTCTTGGATTCTCCTTATCTCTGGGGGCAGCTGATTCCAGAGGGTATAAATAAGATAAATAAGATTGTTACAAAGATTAAATGCAAGAGAGCAGGTATAAGTAAAATATAGAGCTTTGTTTTGATGTAGTCGATTTATGTATTATATATGGGGTGAGGGTATGAAGACCAGAGGTCTTCAAACTTGGCAGCTTTAAGACTTGTGAACTTCAACTCCCAGAATTCTCCAGCCAGCATGGAATTCTGGGAGTTGAAGTCCACAAGTCTTAAAGCTGCCAAGTTTGAAGACCTCTGGTCTTAAGACACAGGTGGGCAACGATTGTCCCTTTATGACTTGCAGACTTCAACTCCCAGAATTCCTGAGCCAGCATGGCTCAGTATGGCTGGCTCAGGAATTCTGGGAGTTGAAGTCCACAAGTCATAAAGGGACCATCGTCCCCCACTCCTATTTTAAGAGTTCAAAACCTCTTTCTGTCAGTCCCCTCTTCCTTGGGGGAAAGCATTATGGAATTCAAAGACATTTACTTCTAGGCTGGTGGGTTGTCTGCGACATCCCCAAATAGGTTGCCTACAACTAGCCCTCCATCAAACGACACGCTAGCTGAAGATAACGGGGTTACGCCGAAACACGTCAGGACGCCATCAGGTGCGGGAAGCTGATCGCTGAAACCTAATTTCTTACAAACCCGTACTAACCTCGAGGGGAAAAGAGGTTAAATTACACCAGCTTCTTCCATCCGCACGTTGGACTCCACTTCCCACTTTCCCCAGGCACCTCAACGGGTGTTGGGCATGATGGGAGCTGTAGTTCAACGGGGAAATAATATCGCCATTCGATTGTATATATATATATATATATATAGCCTTTAACAAGCCCGCTATATGGGAGCGGTGTGAGTGATTTAGAAACCTCGCAAGTCCGGCGGACACGAGCCGGCTTACCATCTCTCCTATCCGCAACAGGTCCTCCTTCAAACGGCGGAAACGGGATTTGCGCGGGAAAAGCAGCGGGAAACCATCCCGCCTCCTTCGACGTGAAAGTGCCGCCTGATGGCGCTCAGCTGTATTTACACACCAGCAACGGATGAAACGGCCCCGCCCCCATTTTTTTTTTTTTTTTTTGCGGTGTCCTCTAGAGCTAGAAAAAAAGAAAACAGTGCAGAAAACGTGCACGCGTACACGGATGCTCGCTCACGGTATTCTGCCTGTTTTCCCCTTTTCCCCGTTAAGGCAAATCATTTTTATTTATTTATGTATTTATTTATTTTGTCGAGTACATATTAGATAATATATATAAGCACAAGCATGAAATGAATACATAAAATGAGTACAATTAAAGGGAACATTAGGACAGGGACGGTAGGCACGCTGGGGCTCTTATGCTCGCTCCTTACAGACCTCTTAGGAATGGGGTGAGGTCTACAGTAGACAGTTTTAGGTTAAAGTTTTGGGGGTTTGGGGATGAGACCACAGAGTCAGGTAGTGCATCCCAGGCATTAACATCTCTGTTACTGAAGTCATATTTTCTGCAATCGAGTTTGGAGCTGTTCACTTTTTTTTTTTGAATTTTTTTTTTGAATTTTTAAACAAACATACATAAAAACATAAAACCATCTTTAGTTCAAGTTTGTATCTATTGTGTGCTCGTGTATTGTTGTGGTTGAAGCTGAAGTAGTCATTGACAGGTAGTACATTGTAGCAGATACTTGTCAATGCTTCGCCCAAGCCTTCTAATGAGTAACAGTGCATTATTTCTTTATGCATTTAATTTCATACGTGGAGTAGCGTATGGAGAATATTATTTTTGGGAATATTAGCGCATGGTTTACGTACTTTAATTTCTCTTCCTACAATCGGCGCTAATCAAAATATTTTTTTAATCTGAAATACGGACAAGAGTATTGAAACCTTAATCAGAAATAATGTTTATCTTTTGTACTACTTTTATTTTCAGGTGTTCCTAACCAGTTTATTAAAAACAGAACTGAAAAAAACCCCCCGAATATTAAACAAGATAAAAGTTATCTAAACTATGGAAGGGAAATTTCAGAATGATTGTTACACTTTAAAACCGATCTCACTCTGAATTCACGTATCTGTGGTGTTTGCAATTAAATAGCATGCTTTGTTATCTATTTCTGACAATTGTCTGAAATTAACACCTGTTTTGAACATTTTTACATCTTCACTTAGGATCATCGTTATGTTCTTTATAAGAACTGATTTTAAAAGGATTCTTCTGAGATTCTTCACAATCTTGGTTTCACCATGTGAATATTTGGCGTCATCCGTAAAGTTGGCCAGTTCATTCTTACCCTCAATTCAAGTTCATTTATGAACAAGCTTAAAAATTGAATCCAGACACATCTTTGTTGGGCTCTGCTTCTTATAATTGTTCATTTACTTCTATTCTTTGGAGTGAGGTACGGAATTAAGCAGTTTCCACGAACTCTAAATTTGTTTTGAAGAAACATTAATGAACAATTTTAGCAGAAGCTTCAAGAGAAGTTTGTAAAAAGTGTTTTGAAAAGCCAAGTATGCAGTATAATATTGACACATTCATCTCCATCCACTCACTCATTGACACAACTTTTATATAACCCACTGTTGTGGTGGGTTAAATAACGATATGTGCTTATTGTTTTAGTACAATGTAGAAATATTATTAGAAAATTGTTTTAAGATAAAGGACATAACTTCTTCCTATTTGATATACTGGCAGCAGCATACATTGCAGATCATTTAATTGCTCTTGCTCAGTTAATCTTTGATATTATATTGAGGTAGCTTAAATAACAGTATATCATAGAAACTCCCTGGAATCGGGGCAACTGGATGGAGCTGAGCGTTTACTGGCCAGATGCCCTTCCTGATGCCTATGGAGTTTGCAGCAGGTATTTTTTCTTTACACCCTAGGAGAGACATCTACCACCACCTAGGATTAAACTCAACCTTCTGAATGGGAGGTGAGCATCTTTACCACTAGGTCACCACACCATTTTATAGTGTATCACAAAGCTGTAAAAAAATACACACACACACACACACAATCATAATAAACAGGATTTACTAGCCATTGAATACATCCAATGAAAGCCATCAGATGAAATAGCCAATGAAAGGAAGCATACTTTGTTGAACAATTTGCTGTTTTAACAATTCCTACCATCAGCAAATTCCTCTGAATGGCTAACCTAAGTCTACTTATCTTTCCAAGCTTAAGTGGAATTATTAGGAATATTCTCTAAGAGTCATTTAACTAATTATGAATCAAGGTAAAAGCTCTATTACCTACTTCATATTTTAGGATTTTACTAATGAGAAAGGATTAATGAAACACTTCCACTAGTTGCTCCAGTAATCTAAATGTAATGCACCTAATGCTGGAGCATTAGCCTCATTAACATTAGCTTGCTTTCTTGCCTGTCCTAAATGGCAGTTCTCTCCTTTTCCCATAGCATAACGATGGTTAGCCAGGGTTTCATTTCTTTCTAAAAGAGAGTAGATGTTAAGTACAAGTTAAAACATTCTGCCTTTTCACTTTCACCTATTACAAATCCACTTTTTTCTAGCCACTGATCTACAGCTTTTTGCCTTTCCTTTTGTCCCTAGTGAATCCATAACATACTTTTTTTTTGGTGTTTAGAGGCATTACTTGCATGTTTTGACCTAGTCTATATTTGTCTTTCTTTTGTCTTTCTATTTGTCATTTTTGTTTGGTTATATACTCCTGCTTTCATTTCCTATATATACAGGCCATTTTCTTTTCATCACTTTATATAAATTATATCTTGTTATCTTTTCTCCTAAGTAGGAATTGTGGTTGTGTGCTCTGCTCTTGACTTCCACCCTATATTCCCAGAGATTGCATCAAAATCTGTTCTTTTTAATCCCAGTACACAAATCTGATTCTTAATTTGTATGGCCCTTGGCATGAACTCAAAGATGACAAGATTACATTTTCTCCGCAAGATTCCAATAATCTCTTCAACCAATTTGCCCTTGTTAGAATTTTTTTACTTCTGAATTCAGCAAATTAAGATTTCCAGAAGGTGGTGGTGAAGTTGAAATGACCTTGCTATTGCATGTCTCTGAAAGTTTGGCATCTAACAGAGGTCTCACGAATATCCTTTGATTGTCCAGGCTGTCTTATAATAAATTCCAACAATATAAATTTAGATTTTAATTTTTGCAAATACTTTGATGGGATTTTTATGTCCTGATTCTTTGATTTATATTATTTTTGTTACCACACCCCTCTCTTTTCTATTAAGTCTTTTCCTTGAAGAATTTGTACTTAATCATATGTAAATTTAACTTTTCAAATTCTCCCCATTTTCCATATCCTGCATTTTTGCATTGTAATATATTGAGAACTGAAGTAATATCCCCAATAGTTATTCCATAGTTATTAAATTCCGTATCTATTTTCATACATCTTCCTGTTATTAGTTTCACTTCTTGACAAGTTTACTGTATTTTTCGGACTATAAGACGCACTGGAGTATAAGACACACCTAAATTTTTGGGGTGGAAAATAACAAAAAAGCTGACTGGGGGTGGATCGGCCTCCCGGAATCCCCCAATCAGCTGTTCCCAGAGGTGAACTTTAGCAACAGGTTCGTTGGTTGTGAGCTCTGTGCCTTGCTTTTTTTTCAGCCTCTGAAACCTCCGTTTCAGGGCAAACCAGTAGCAACCCACCACTGACATAATTCCTTCTATAGAAGAATCGTGGTTTAAGCTTTGAGAATGTGCATTAATGTCAAAATATCTTTGTATTTGAAAAACAGTAAGTAAATTTAATCTAACCAAACTATTTATGGATTGTAATTCTGCACATGGACTTGTACTATTCATTGTTTGGGTTTCTATTTAAAGCAATTTAAACATTACATGTAAGGCTATTTAATATTATATATGGTCTGCTGTTTTATACTTAGTTGTTTATTCTGAGTGATGATTATTGTACTTCCTTTTTTGTTAATTATTTAATATTGACTTGACACTCCAATAATAATTTGAAGAACCAGGTTATAAAGATCATTTTATATGCAATTATAGTTTAATCCAAAAATGATTAATTTTTATATCATTTCTCTATTTTATTTTTGTTTTTTAAATTTCTTTATTTTCTATTAGAAGCAAAGAAAGGCAAAAAAGAAAAAACAAGAAGGATAACTGTTCATAGTTGATTCAAAAGGATTGTGGGTTTTTTTTGGAAACGGCAATTGGACTGATTATTGTGTGGAAATTTTAAATTTAATCTTTTTAAAATCAGTCCAGTTGCCTTTTCAAAAAAACAAAACACCTTTGAGACAATCATAACCTGGATGACTGAGAATCTTCATAGACAGTTCACGGTTGAGTCTGACTGAAAGCAAAATCATGCACCCTAATCCATGCCTTGGGTGTATCTATAGTTATTACTACATAGACATCATACGCTCTGAAATACTGATTTACAATTAAAATGTAGTTATTTTGTATGCACTATATAGACTTCTTGACATCTTCCCTGTTAAAAATGAAAATGAGCAATAAAGGTACATGAGGACAATGTGGCAACCCAACCATCTTCAATTCTGAAAAATAACACAAAACAATTTTCATTCAGTTTTATTTGGGGGAAGGTTGTGCATGATAAAAGATACACATTTGACTTTGTTTTTCTTAGTGTTCCAAAATAAGGTAAAAGGGTTTTTTAAGCTCTCTTTGTAGGATAAACCATAAAAAATACCATGGCACACATGAAGCTAAATCTACCTACAGACATTCTTCAATGAACAGCTTTCATCCTCAGCCTTAACTAGACAGAGATTATACATCTATTAAAACTGATAAGGGAACATAACAAATAAAATAAGTCCTACAATTTCAGTATTATTTCCAGAGAACATGAGGCTTAATAACTTTATGTACCTAAAAATGAAATAGGGATGAAACTGACGTACAAAGCTGGAATGTACAGAGCAACAATAAAATTAATTTATTCTAAGAACCTGAAGAATACAATGTGTGAAACAATTCAATTGCAAGCACTGGGATATAAGAGTATATGCTACTTATTATGGAACATTCCCATGTCATAAAGGGGGGGAAAAAGCAAACTTTTGAGGTTAAGGCTGTGCACACATCCAGTTCAATGTTGTACATTC